TACGCAGGACAGCCATGAGTCTTAACCAAAGGATACGGCTGATGACACGACCAGATAATCCTCTCTGCGATCTTTGCAACCAGCCTACAGGCTATTTTTGCTATTCCTGTGGTACGATTGTATGTGCAGACTGTCGACTTACCCCACAGGGTAAACAACAGATGTGCGAGTGCATCTTGCCAATCGATTGCCTCGAGACCTCTAAAGTGTCAGCAGGAATGATCTCAGAAGAGCGTCAGGTTTTATACGAGGCCATCCTCACACATGAGGACGTAGATTTGGCAGTCCAGAAAATCAACATGTATTGCGACCACGCAAGGAATTCGTTCATGAGAGCCCATCCAGGCGTTGATCCATGTAGCTTTGATGATATTAGGAATAATCCTCCTAATACTTACACCAGCTCCACAGAGGCTCCAACCCTGGAGGAATACAAGAGCATCAACAAGGGTCACATCAATATCAAGGACTCCAGAACAAGCCACCCGGCGTCTTTTCTCTCTCTTACTGGCTACGAAGACAAACTGGTGCTCGACGCACATTACGAGATAGTTCGTAATAGGATGGCCGGTGTTAACGAGAAGAGAGAACACATTGAGGGCTCAAACCCAGACAGCGTATCACTAAGCCTAGTGGTATGCAACTGGGGAAATATGGATCGAGCGCCGGTGCCAGCAGGGAATCCCAAAAAGAAACTCAAACCTGAGAAGGGATTCGATTACCACCCTCTTATTGACATGTGCTTCAACAATTCAGCACATATTACCCTCGTACTCGAGGCAGGAGCACTTGCGTCAAAGTATTCGATCGCAACCATGCGACAACATGAATACAGAGGGATGCTAATCCATTCTCCTCCCAAGGAGCCTGAGGCACCCTCAATGTATATTGGAGTCAAGGGTGACCCAACAACAGACATCTCTCTCGTCCACCACTTTTACCGTCACCGAACAATGAAGCCTAAGGCTGGTGGTCCCAAGAAGCGACTGTGGGCATGCCACGGTGCGGTATGCCGCCTCACCTTTGGGTACCACAGTACCATCAAGGAGGCAAAAGAATGGGTCCACCCATATTCCGGCCAGAGGATGACGAGAGATGAGTACATGAAGATTATCGGATATGACCCTCTCAAGGGTAAAAATCCTGACAAGGATGGACCCACTGATGGCTCTTACCTCTCACCAGAGGCGTGTCTGACACTGTCGGACCTCGACCCTTCGCCGGTTCTCTGTGAATGGAACGGCCATGTCGAGGGTGATGAGCCACCAGAGGAAGACTTTGAGTCATACGCAGAGATCTTCTCACAAGAAGCATCAAACGATCTTGACGAGATGTGGTGTACAAAAGGGCCTTACAAGGTCATCACCATCGCGATCGTCCATTTCAACTCATACATGACTCATAAGGAAGAACAGAGGCGCGAACTGGTGAACGCGTTCCTCAACGAGGTTCTCCCTTTCAAACCGGATGTAATTGCGGGGGATCTCAATAATATTGCGTCGAGGCTCACCTTAAAAGGTGGAGACGTTCACCCGCGAAACGGTTTGTTTTCTCTATACCTGGAGAAGAAACTTGCAGCATTCAACAGAATAGCAGGAAGGCACTCACAAGTGCGACACCTCTGCTTGAACAACTCTGACCAGCACAGACTGGCACGTGCAGATCGTCTACCGCCGGACCCGGCGAAGAAAGTTGCTGACCTCGACTGTATCAACAGTTATATCCTTGACTGGAGTAAAACGCCGCACACGGCGTCACCTAGTCCAAGAGATGCTACACCTGCCGCCGAAAGAACATACTGGGAACGAGTCTCAGATATGTGGCAGGACATGAACAGAAACAGGGATATCGATATCCGTCTGTTTGTCTCAGTCAAGCAGTACTATTCAACTTTTTCTAACCTTGACCTGTGGTTGAGTCCCTCTGACAAAGATTGGCACAGCCCTTTGGGCTTCACGATACAACCAATCCTTACAAAAGGGAAACACAACCGGTCAGATGCCCAGGTTCAGAAGATCGCTGACAAGCGACAGGCTTACAAGCAGCGTAATGCTGAATACTGGGATTACAAAGACTCATTTATGTATTCATCTGGCAACAGCTGGTACGACAGACAGCAACCACAAGGTAGCTATCACAGATATGGAAGATTCTGGGAAAGGCCACAGCCTGAACGTCCCAGCGAGCCTGAAGGCTCTCCTCCAAGAAGGAGCCAGGCATCATCGTCCTCTTCACAACAAGATCTACCAAGATCGAGATCCAGACCTCAGAGAGCCAGTCTTGTTGACAAGCTCAACATGTCTTTAGAGGAACTGGACACACTTGAGGAACAACAAGAGGAAGAACATTTGATCCGTGAGATGGAGAGTGTTATTGAAGAGCACGAACGAGAAACATCAAACCTGATGTCGGCTCAAAGAGATGAAGACGAACAGGAGGAAGAATCTTCCAGTCGCAGAAGAAGAAGGAAGTCATCGCGACCGCCGTCTGCTCCGAGCAGCAAGGCACTCCGAACAGCTGCCACAGCAGCAGGGTTGTCGAACTGGTTCGGACACCCTAATCAAGGCGGTGCAAAGGGAGAGTCTATCAAGACTGATGAACCTTCACTTCCAAACTCACTAACCAGTGAGCAAGACTTCTCCGTCTTCAGCATCGCGTGGAATGTGTTTCTGCTGCTAATGGGCCTACACTGGATGTGGAAGCAGCTCACCAGGGCTCCCATCAGATGTATGGACCGCCAACAATCAAATGCAAAAGCAGCAGCGAAACGACCACCACCATTTCTCGAACCCGAGAATGAACCACAGACGCGTGAACCTTTAGGACCCAACAGGGTCAATTCTGGAGAAACAACGGATTTGCGACCTGTGTGGCACACTTCCCGAAGCGAAGTCTACCATCTTTCAGACAGCTGTTACCAGCTCAAGCAAGCAAAAGATGTTTCAAGGAAGGTGCTGTGTAAAACCTGCCTCCAGGCAGTACAAGTTGCGGAGATTCGCAGGAACGATCCTTTTCAAAGAGGTGATACACGATCACGTGGCACCGAAAGGGACATTGAACGGTTTCAAACCTATGACGATGCAAGTACTACTCCTCATATGAGGCAATTATTCAGTGATGCATTGCATTCACAAATGGCCGAAGAAGCCATGCAGATTACCTATACATCAATCCCTAAGGGATCCTCGGCAAGAGCCAGAGGTACATCTGCACTCGCAAGTGCCTCATCGTCGTCAGTGCCCAAGGCAATGCCACCAGTGCCTAACAAGGCAAACATGTCACCTCCACCTAAGACTCCTCCGCCAAAGGCGAAAGGAACAGTACCTTCAGATCCTCCGAGACCAAAAGGTCCTACCAGAAGAGGAGGTCAAAATCGGCGCATTCAACGAAAAGCAGCTAGAGAAGCCCATAACAGTGGACTCTGCAACCATGCAGACGCTGCACTTGGCGAAGCCAATCAAGGCCAGGCCATTAACACTATGTGCCGAAACATGGCAGTAAGACACGTCAGCTCTATCGATGCAACGGTAGAAGCAGCCGAGCAGTTTACACAACGCGTGCAACAGCACGTAGAAACATATGATGAAGAGGAACCGTGGAGCACGGAGTTTCTACCAGTCGTGGAAGTCCTATTCAGGAACTTGAGCAGCGACGAAACAACTGTCATACATGACAATCATACGGTAACTATGCCTATTGAGAAATATCTCGACCTCCTCAGAATCGCACAATCATTGCGAAACTCTATCCAGAGAGACAAGGAGGAAAGAAAGGATCATCTTGACACCATCCAAGATACTCTATCCAGAGTGGAAATCCTTCTAACAGCACTGAAGGACTCAAAAACAGTCTTCAATCAATTGGTCCATTCCTCACTAGAGATAGAGCGAAGACATAAAAACCTCAAAAATGTCCTTGAGACACTTTTTGACGACCAAAGCTCTGAGGAAGACCAGTCAGAATCTGACCATGAAGAAGTCCTAACTCCTTCTGCAGCACAGTACTGGAACAGCCTTCATGCCCACGCCTTATCTCCCTCAGGAGATGAAAGTGAAAGATCATGGGCGTCCTCAGACGGACAGCTTGAAAGAAGAAGGGCCGAACGGGCAAAGGCTAAGCAGCCACAACCGGCTAAAGCCGAGGCAACTCCAATCAGCTCACAAGCTGCACCAAAGGCCGAGCCAAAGGCGACTACATCCAACCATGGATATGACACTGCAGACGCCGCCTTCACCAGGGCTGAGAACAGATTACTCGGAATCTTTTCAAGTTCCGAAGAAGATCACTCAGACCCGGATGAACCACATCCGAACGTCTATGCTCGAGCCTATGATCCAAACCTGGATCCAAATCTGAGATAAGGAAAATCTCAGAGTTTCACAACAGTGACTCACAAGGCTCTAACAAGAGCACAGTGAAGGGCTGCATAATTCGATAGAAGAACATTACCAGACCTGATCCTGTACAGACGATCTCTCTGACCAATGTGCATGAAAGAGTTCAAAAGGAGTGATTTCAAGAGTGACTTCAACAGTGTACTTCAGTGCTATACCTAGCATAAACAATATGCTGTTTTTATCATGAGTCCAAACTCCGCAACTGTGACAGTGGGCATAATAGTATATGTGTGAATGTGCGGCCATGCTTCCGGTAAAAGAAAATTAGTGTCTGTTTGTTTGCGTAAACCTCTAAAGGGGTAGCTCTAACAGGTACCTACAGCAATGGCTGCATGCTCATACATATACATTCCGCTGCCCATTGGCTCACAGTGGTTTTACCATATTGAGACAAGACAAGCTCTCCTTGCGTAGCAAGACAAAACAATTACTGTCCGTGTGCAGGGCGCTGCCCTTTGATCCTTAGGGAATAAACTGGTCATACACCTCCTAACAAGGAGCATTTCCTTGTGGGTGTATCGGCTCACCCCCTGCCCCCCCTAAATATCTCCAAGACTGTACCTAAACCCTAAACCCTAAACCCTAAACCCTGGCGACTGCCAGGCCCTTCACGGCTTCGTTCTGCTCTTTGACTTTTCGCGGATCTTCCTCGTCTTCACGCTGACTGCTGTGGCCGGGGAGCTCAGACACGTTGCCGGGTTTGCGGGTTAAGGCCTCCATCTGAGCTGACATGGGAGTTTCCGAAACTTAGGGTCCTTAGAATAAGGATGCTACTTTTCTAAGGTAGTATATTACTGTCCCCGATTTTCGGAAACTCCCACATGTGTTCTGTGAGGGTTTCGTTGCGATGCAGGCCGTTGAGGGATGGGGTTACGGCCACCTTGGGCAACCATTCCCATGCAACCTCCAGCTCCAAACTGGCCACTCGCAGGTTCATAGGCAGATAGAAGTAGCTAGGCTTCTCCTGCTGCAGATACAGTCTTGTCTGGCACAGAATTTGAGGCAAGTTAGGCCTGAACCGCTTTGCCCTCACAGAACCCTTCAAAAAGCCATCAGAACCAGCCTTATAGAACCATCCCAAAATCTTATCAGCCTTATAGCAAGCCCCTTAACCCTGACCCCAAGCCCCTTCCCTGGACAACACCCGCGACCTTCCCTCTGTTGTGCAAACGAGTCCGTACGTTTAAGTGGTTTCTTTAGTAGCTATACGTAGTTCTAGCATAGTTTACTCGCAGATCCCTACTCGCTGTAGTCATGTCAGACTTCGGTGCTCAGAGGGCAAGGGGTTTGGGCTTGCATTGATGGCCTGCCCCCCAAACCCTAAACCCTCAAGCCTTCCGCTCAGGTAGGAACCATGTACTCTCGCTGGTGGGAGATGCGGCGTCTTGCCGGGACGGTGATGGGGAGCATCCAGGACCCCGAGTTTACGGTCTAAAGTTCAGGGTTCGGGATTTAATTACAGTTTACGGTTTTAGAGTTTCGGGGTTTAGGGTTCCTCTAAAGGGATCTAGAAGGGTTCCTATAAGTCAAAGGGGAAAAGGAGGGACCCTTAATGGGGACCCCTACCCTATAATGGGGCTATATAATGGGTATATAATAGCTATATTAAGGGTATATACCTAGGGGTCCTTATTAAGGGTCCCTCCTTTTACCCTTGGACTAAGGGACCTATAAGGTTTCTAGAAAGGGGTAGGTTTTAGGGGTTTTGGGTTTGAGTACAGGTGATGGAGCTCTTGGAGGGCTTGGTTGTCTTGTGTATCCCATGAGTTCAGGGTCCAAGGATTAGGGTTTAGAGTTTAGATTTTAGGGTTCGGGAGGGTTGAGGGTTTAGGGGTTTTAGGGTTTAGGGTTTAGGGGTTTTAGGGTTTAGGGTTCGGAAGTCTTCAGCGCCCTCAAACAACTCACTACTCCCTCAACCCTAAACCAACTGTAAAGCCCTGAATCCAAGATCTCCATATGTGCTAATCATCGGGGGCACACTCAAACTAGGGTTTAAGGTTTAGGGTTTAGGGTTTAGGGATTTCGGAGTGATTTCCTAGTGATTCAGAATCATGGATTTGAAAAGGCCCTTGAATCCAAGCAGGATACCTCCATCATCGTCGCCACATATATCCATGGTGAGGAGACAGCGGAGCCTTGCTAGCATGGCCTTTTGGCCCGGGTTCAGGCGTTTGAGCTTAGGGCTGTGGGTCTTGAGTTGGGGATTTAGGGTGTGGTTTTCGGGTTTAAGGGGTTGAGGCTTTGAGTTTAAGGTAATCAATGTAATTAGACCCCTGACCAATGCGCCCCGTCACCAGAAAGGATGATGATAGAGATCCGAATTTTAAGGTGCTGAAAGACAGGAGTTGACTATTTAACCTGAGGTTCACATTATTGCCGTTCTGGGCTTTGCTTTTCGCTATTTTGGAGGGGCGGTGAAGACGGGTGAGGCCGTGGGGCGTTTCGGGTTTAGGTAGCACAGTTTGGGGGTATATACGGCTCAGGATGTTCAGGATCCAGGTTTTGGGGGTTTTCCTTTGTGGTTTAGGTATTCTGGGGTTAAGGCGTTTCGGATAAAAAAAAATTAAAAAGGCTGGAGGTTTCGGCTTTGAAGGTTTTGGGTTTGCTTTGCAATTCGAGATTTGGGCTTGTCCCTTAGGCCCCAAACTTCTTTGCATGAGCCCGATCCAGCTTGGTCCATCCTTCCCGCAAGTTCGGGTGTCTGGTGTTCAGGCTTAAGGGCTCATGTGGGAATTAGGGTCTGCTTAGACGGTAGGGCTTGAGGGTTGAAGGGCTTGGGCTTAGGGTCTATGCCGAGATGGAAACCACAGTGCTTATGCGTGCCGGAAAGTCAAGTTCATGGTTGGGATCGGATTACAATTGTACATGTTTATTCCTTACTGGGTTTAAGTACCCGTAAACATGTAAAATGTTGCTCAACTATGACAAAGAAGTATGACAAGATGTAGCCACTGACAAATTGAGGTGTTGGAGGTCCTCTCTTTGCCGAATCTTGAAGACCGTGCCCAATCCCACATCGTAAGACCCGAGCCTGCACCTACTTTCCGAAACTGACATACCATAAACCCAACACATTGAAATCCCAAACTACGGTGCTACACCCCCAGACCCTGAACCCTAAAGCCTAAAACCCCACACCCCTAGAGCCCAAACCCCAGGCATCCCGACAGCTCTCTGCTCGAATCCGAAATACCTAGACAAATCTATAACGGTTGAGGGTTTAGGATACACTAACCTACCTAGGGCTTAGGGTTTAGGGACAAGCCATACGCACTTTTTCCGGAGACTAAACCCTGAAATCGAGGCGCCCGAGCAAGCCAAACTAGCTTTGAGCCGAACGGTTCTAGAGTTTATGTTTCCGGTGGAATCTGCACTAAATTTTCTTGAGCCTTATATCCCAGAATAAGAAGTAGGGGCTTCGTATAATCTACTGTAGATTCTACTGTACGAAACCCCTTTTGAAAGAGCTTCTGTCTCCTTCTTCGGGCCAGGGCTTTCGTGTGTTATTGTTTTTTCTTCGACGGTTGGTATTTGAGGATGTCTCGATGCACCGTAACCCCGAGACCGCATAGAACTCTTAACATAACCCTTCTAGCCACCTTTACAGTCGCTTGCAGCAAATGGCTCTTGGAGCGTACGAGATGTTCCCTAAAACCTAAACCCCGAAACCCCTAAACCCTAAACCCTAAACCCTAAACCCTAAAACCCTAAACCCCTAAACCCTAAACCCTAAACCCTAAACCCTAAAACCCTCAAAACTCAAACCCCAAAGCCATGAACCCGCAATCACGATCTCCTGGCAAGGAACTGCAATGCGACCTAGTGCGGTACCTAAATCTGGCCCTGATCCTACTCTACATCCAGGTGGGGGCCCTAGAGTTTAGGGTTTCGGGGTGGTAGGGGTTTACCGGTTTAGGGTTTAGGGTTTAGGGTTTAGGGTTTAGCGTCAAGAGCCTACTGTCTGATGCGTAGTCGGGAATGGGGGAGTGGGTTATAGGGACTACTATCGGGGATGATATAGGGACTACTATAGGGATCCATTCCCCCATTCCCTACGAAGCACCAGGGAGGCAGACCCAGCCCTGGGGTTCCTAGAATCCAAGGGTAAAAGGAGGGACCCTTAATAAGGACCCCTAGGTATATACCCTTAATATATAGCTATTATATACCCATTATATAGCCCGTTACAGGCTAAGGGTCCCCATTAAGGGTCCCTCCTTTCCCCCTTTGATAGAAGGAGTAATAGAGCGGCCGTAATAATTACCTATACTATTTTTGGGGATCCTTACTATAGTTATAGCATAATGGGCCCCAAAACCCTATTCTAAGTATTAAGGCCCCTATATTACATCAACACAGCAATACCGCGCAGATGGCCACATATTATGCACAGGTGCATAGCAGCCTACCCTTAGACTTGGGATTGGGATGGTGTTAGCCAAGTTCCGCTGTTGTTGTTGCCCGTCTTCACATCGAGACGTCTGCAAGTCCATGTTTTATCATTAGTTTCAGGGCATGGCATGCAGGCAGAAGGTTGTGCAGTTTCAGGGCTCGGCGTCCCAACTCTCTCGGAACTGCTCGAGCCCCTACCTGGGCTCATGTGCGGCAATGTGAACTTTGATTGGTTTTGTAAGGCTACGTAGAATCCGTTTTCAGCGCCCTCAATACCGAGAAGCGCATCGAATTTCAATCCCAGGTTTCAAGAAATCCTAGGGGAACCGAGAAAACCTACATTCCAAACCCTAACCCCTTCAGCTGCAGAAATCCCCAACAGCTGCAGAGACCAAGGTCTAAGCCCTAAACCCCTAAACCCTAAACCGCTAAACCCCTAAACACCTAAACCCCTAAACCCTAAACCCCTAAGCCCCTAAACCCCTAAACCCCTAAACCCAAAAAGGTAGCGTATGGGGACGGACCTCAAACATCTGCAGGCACGGGAAAAGCACGGCAAAGCTCCCCTGTTCAGCCTGGGGCAGTTGCAGGAGTGAGCGCAGTACAACGCAAGTGCGGGGTTGATAGGGTTTAGGGTTTATGGGCCTTAAAGAGTCTAAGGCTGAAGGGTTTTAAATAGGGTTCATAGGGTTTATAGGCTATAGGGCTTATAGGGTGTAAGGGCTCAGAGTTTATAGGGCTGATAGTTGATAGGGTTTAGGGCTTAAAGCCTTAAAGGTTTTAGGGTTTAGAGGGCTAAAGGGATTTAGGGGTAACAGGGCTTGTAGGGCTTAAGGGTTTAGGGTATATAGTGCTTATAGTGTTTAAGGGTTTAGGGTTTATGGGCCTTAAAGAGTCTAAGGCTGAAGGGTTTAGGGCTTATAGGGTTTTAGAGGGTTTTAGGGTTCATAAGGTTTATAGGCTATAGGGTTTATAGGGTGTAAGGGTTCAGGGTTTATAGGGCTGATAGGGTTAAAGGGTTTAGATTTATAGCCTATAGGGTTTAAGGGTTTAGGGTATAGGGGGCTTATCGGGTTTATAGGGTTTAGGGGTTTAGGGCATATAGGGCTTACATGTTTTTAGGGGTTTAGGGTTTAGGGCGTGTAGGGTTTTAAGGCTTGTAGGGTTTAAGGGTTCAGGGTTTATAGAGTTTATAGGGCTTATAGGGTTTAAGCGTTTAGGTTTTATATGGCTTATTGGCTTTAAGGGTTTAGGGCTTGTAGGGCTTACAGGATTTAAGGGCTTATGGTCTACATGGCTTATAGGGCTTATAGGCTTTATAGGGTTTATAGGGTTTAGGGTTTATTATAGGTCTTATTAGGTTTCAGGGTTTATGGGGTTCATAGGGTTTAGAGGTTTAGGGCTCAGGGCTTACAGGGTTTTAGGGCTTATAGGGTTAAAGGGATTTAGGGGTAACAGGGCTTGTAGGGCTCAAGGGTTTAGGGTATATAGGGCTTGTAGTGTTTAAGTCTTAGGGATTGTAGGGCTTATAGGATTTAAGGGTTTAGGGCTTATAGGGCTTATAGGGTTTATAGGGTTTAGGGCTTATAGGGGTTTTAAGGCTTACGGGGTTTAAGGGTTTAGGGTTTAGAGGGCTCATAGGAGTCCCCTATAATCGTTATTCCCCGTAAGACTACACTATACTAACCCTCAACCCCCAAACCCTAAATCCCTTCTGTAGACCTCAGGCCTTGACACTAGGGTGCGTATTGTACCATAATCCTTTTCAGGTAGGGGGTATGGTCGTAGGGTCTAGTATAGAAGCCTGAACGATTGGTGTTTCAATAGTGCTATTCCAGAGTTTTCTTTGTCGTAGTGGAGGAAGAATATACCCCAGGACCCTATTCCAATTGTTAATGCCCCTAACGAGAGAAAACCCTATAGTAACCAGCGTCTGAAGGAACCTTGTATCGAAAGCATAGCCTAGACCATAAAACAAAGGCGAAAAACAAGGCCAAAACCCCAAAGCCCGAACACCTTAAACCGTAAAGCCCTAAATCCACAAAAGCCCAGAAAAATCTCTAGCGAAGGAGTTGGGTTTCGTGACCGCAGAGGAAGAATCCGTGCTGCGGACGCACGCGACTTCGGCAGCCAACGCAAAGCAGTGCAGGGTTGAGGGTCTTGATGCCTCTGAGATTTAGCTTAAATAATAAACAAAAGAAGGTTGAAATTTTTGGCCTTATATATTAGCCCTATCTAAGAAAGTTTGAACTGTTTGGGGCCCGGTTGTTGAAGAAGAGAGTTAGGTTAGGCATGGTGGGGCTGAGGGTTTGGGGACCTGGGGCTTTTAGGTTGGGCGTTTAGGTAGTTAAAGTATTCAGGGTCTCGGGATGAATGACTTCCGGGATTGACCTATCATGCTTCAAGCCGGTTTAGGGTTTTAGGGTTTTAGGGTTTTAGGGTTTAGGGTTTTAGGGTTTAGGGTTTAGGGGGTTTGGGGTTTTGGGTGACCTATGAGGTTTTGTGTCTATGGCGCATAGGGCTGTTGGAGTTGATGTCCTTGGAACTTTACTACACAAACTCGTACATATCCGTCGAACCCAGGCAGGATTCCAGTCTAGTCGAATCAAATCACTAGGACCCAGAGTAGGGCCGTATTACCTTTTTAAGGGTTTAAGTTTCCGTTTCACACCCTTTAAACCAAAAAGGGCACCCCTTTTATTCCTGGGTTACTCTTAGGTCTGGATGGATCAAATTAAACATCAGTTGATCAATCTATATAACCCTGTCATGCCGATCCAGCAGCTTGTTTCAGTTATCCCCCTGCCTATTATAAGCAAGGGCAGCGATTCACGTGTGAATACAACTTCACGATGCGAAGCTCGACTCCCGAGAACCGTCATGGAAAAGACAAGGGTGTAGGACTTTTGTAGGATTTTGTCGAACTTATTGCTTAGGGTTTAGGGGCGTCCAATGTTGAGGGCTCAAGACTGTGACGGATCAGGTAAGAGCCAATGAGAAAATCCCAAAACCTCAGTCCAAAACGGTAAGCACCACTCTCAGACATTTCGAAGCCTCGACGCTAAGACTAAACCCTGGGGCGTTTGCAAAGTGTATGTGTGTGTATATATATATATATGTATATATATATATACACACATGCATATGCATATATGTATACATATATATACACACAGACAGAGAGTGAGGCTGTTACACGCGAGGGCCATCTGCAGTGTTCGGACAGCACTTGCTGCTCCCAAATCCGGTGCATCCTGCATAAAGCACGCAATGGTTTAAGCCCTCTCTAACACTTTTTGAAGCTAATAACAGACCGTTGCGGATTTGGGAAGGGTTGTGAAATTTGACCGCAACGCTGACCCGCCTCTGCCGGGTTCCCACTTCTCAAAGGAGGCCAAAAGGGGTTTTCGCCTATGGGGGTTTAGTAGGGATTAGGGTTCCCATAATCGGGTTCATATTGACGAATCCCTACCCCAAGAACCTTAACCCCCCCTTTTGGCCTCCCATCACACTTCGAGCCCCTCTCCCGCTCGCCCGGCAGAGCCACCAGTTGGAAGCCCGGCTTCACTCCTCAGCTGGAAGCCACCCTCCCACCCCTTCGCCCCTTCCACCCGCAGACCTACCTCTCAGGATAACACTGAAAGACCTTCAGCCCGAAACCTTAAACCCCTGGTTCAGGGTATGGTTCCGCTGCTGTCAGCCACCCCTGAACATATGAACCTTATAGCCGCTGGCAGCAGCTTGGAGTCCGAATTGAGGTCTCCGCCAAGATTCGGTTCACTCCTTGATTCGTACTGTGATTCTGGAGAACACGTTTCGATTTCGGAGTTGAGAATTTCCCAGCCCCGAGAGCTCACATCACTTGAAATATTCGGACCTAGCGGCCCTCCGGCAGGACTCCTTGTTGCGGCACCACTTGAAGTAATGTAGGAACCTGATTAAGAAACCCTGGGCTTTTCACCCCGAAATAGTAGGGTTTATATAAGGAGCCCTAAGAAAGGCCCAAGGTTTCTTAATCAGGTTTCTGCAGTAGGTCTCAGAGTGTGGGGCTTTCTCTCTCAAGGACTAAGCCCTCGACATTGTCGCATGTCCTGACAAAAGACCTAGAAGGACACCTCTGCTCATCACAACGACGACGACATCACAATCAACCACCACAGTCACCACTGCGCATGTGACGACCACCGCGATGGTGATTTCTGTGATGCTGGTGGTGATGACGATGAGAGAACAGATGATGCTTATGATGATTTGTAGCAGCTGAAGTCGGTGTTATAGATTGATGTAGATGATGTGGGCGCTCGTGGCACTGGCAATCAAATGACGCACATTATTTTGAGATATTTTTGAGATATTGGCCGTGATGTCGCACAGGTAGATACTGACAAAGGAGATCTGCGGTTGGCACTGATGACAGGGGATGACGGGGTTGGTTCTGATGTGACTGCAGACATTACCATGCGTGCGGAAACCTGAGGTCGCCGCAGAAGCCCAACAACAACATCAACGACGACAACAGCAACAGCAACATGGGCAATAACAGCGAAGAATCGACCGGCCGACCAACCCACCGACCAGCCGCCGCTCGACCCCCAACGCCTATGTGAAATTAGATCAGCAGCTCGAGACCACAGGGGATGGGGCAGAAACCCAAACTCCCAACAAAGCGTGCGCCGGCTGCTTTGTTGAAGACTCGGAGTCTTTTTCTTCTGTGTCGACTTTTTTGGCGGTCTTGCAGGATTTTCATTCTTTTCCAAAGCAACCCTGGTTCGCGGGGGTAGATCAATCCAAATCAAAACAGGGTTATCATCCAGTCCACCACCACGTTTCGCCTGCAGCGGAGACTTGATGGAGTGGGATTATGGGTGGCTGTGTCAAAATTATGGCCCTTTCTTGGGTACAACTACCCTAAATATTAGGTGCCGTAGCAGAAGAAGGACCCCAAAAGGGACCCTAATATTGATAACCACCCATATGAAGTCTAGACTCCGAAGCGGATTTAGGGTCAAGCACTTGGCCAAGCCAACGAAGGAAGGAGTCTCGTCGCTCCATTCAGTGGCCTGCATGTGGCGGCTTGGATGGCAGGTTGTACTTAAAGGATCATGGGACTTAATAACTAGGGTAATAGTTAGGGTAACTGTACTTTAAACAGCTTATACCACTAATTAAGGACTTCGTTGTACACTTAGATAGGAAACGGTGGAATTTAAAATTTTTGGCCTTTTATATTAGCCCTATGTTTTAGAGTTTGATTTTTTTGGGGGGCCCGGTTGTTGAAGAGGAGAGGACGGCAGGTTGTAAAGATCCACTGAAGAGACGACGTTTTAGGTCTGGATCTTCGGCCACTAGGTGACGCACCCTGAAGCCGCAAAAAGACGTCGACAAGTTTTCTTCTTGGTTTTAATGATATGCGCGATGATCAATAGTAGTAGCTCCTTTTTATAGTCCTCATATAATCACCCCTAAACAACCCTGAAGCCCTCACCCACAAGCGAGTTTTTTTCTCAGGTTCCTGCAACTCTGGCTAGAAGCAGTTCGGGATGGCCACGTGCCTGTCGAGGTAGCAGCCGCCTCAGGTCGTTTGGAGCGTGTGATCGCATAACATTCCGTAATTCTATGAAGCCCCCAGGCTCATAAACCCGGAAGCCTTGTGAAAAGCTGACGAATGCGCTGTGAATACGACTTGTAAGCCCTTCTGTACCAGGCGTTTCGGATAACTGTTTTGTTCCAGCATTCCATCGACTAAAGGTCCAAGACCCAGACGTCTGGAGCTTTGGGCTCAGGCGCCGTATAGGAGTAGGGGTTGAGGGTTTAGGGTTTATCCCTGAACCCTAAACCTTAGACCGATTAACGTGATCCTGGCCTTCTGGCCTTGTGTATGCTCTTCGGATTCGGCAGACATATAAAAATGAGATCAAAAGGTTATCAATATAGTGCCTTCATATATAGAATATGGCTTTGAATAGTATTACGTCATCATGAAGGCTCCCAGATTAGGTGGAGCCTGTGGTTTCATGTTCCCGGGCCCCCTCCCCCGAATTCAACACCGACCCCCAAGGTCCCAACTCAAAGTCTATGTACATTCCGAACCTCCCCTAACCCGGCCTTAAACGTGCTGCTTATCAGCCCTGATGCCCTAATATGAGATGTAGAGGGACCCTACAAAAGGAGGTTTTGCTAGGTTGAGACATATTTAAAAACGGCCAATTGTCCTTTCCATAAGCTCCGACTCTGAAACGACTTGCCCCAAACCCTAAATCCTAACCCCTAACCCCTAAACTCCTAAACCCCTAAACCCTAAACCCTAGACCCCTAAACCCTAAACCCCTGAACCGTAAACCCCTAAACCCTAAACCCTAAACCCCCAAACCCTAAACCCTAAACCCCACAACCCTAAACCCCTAAACCCCTAAACCCTAAACCGTAGTCTTAAACGAGGCCGCTGCCACCCATCAGTCCGTGCAGCAGAACATCACAAACCTCCGGGGTGCTGGGGCGGCGATCTTCACATTCCAGAGTCTGGCCTAACTTACCTTTGGTCAGTAGGGAATGGAAGAAGCCTAATGTAGGGGCCTAATAGTTAAACCCTAAACCTCAAAATCCCGATATCCAAAGGCCCGCGACGCGGTTGGAATTGCCTGGTCTCATACCGCAGCCTTCGATTCAGAAGTAGTAAGTCTTCATCTCTGCAGTAGTCGGATATGCCACCTTGAACCTTTTTTTTGGGAGTGTCCCGGAAAGGATAAGCTGTAGTACCTTTTGAGATTCAGGGTTGGCCAGGTTTGATCTCCGATCTGGTCCTGCTGTAATAGAGTCTGTTCTTGAGGCCACCAAAAAGGGACCCCCAATTCAGGGAACTACCCATGTGTTGCTCCTCAACAATGGATCGCAGCCCTGCACAGGTGTGGTGGGGTCTTGCTTCTCGCTCTTCAGACTTCGCGGTTGATGTCGCGTTCCATTCCCCTTCTGGGTGCGCTGTAGTTTATGTTGTTTCTTCGTAAACTAGGACCCAGAGTAGGCCCTTATTCCCTTTTTTAGGGGTTCAGGTTCCCTTATAAGCCCCTTTAAACCAAAAAGGGCATCCTTTTTATGCCTGGGTTACTCTTAGGTCTAGTAAAAGAAGACCACAGGTTATGGTAACTTAAACCCCTTAGCAGGAACGCGGTCTGTTGTTTTATCGTTCGTTTGTGGGTTCGATGGAGGACTACCAGTCGACGCCAGGATGGCTTTAGCACCATGGGGACCATATCGGAAGCCTTACTGTACCCAGACACTTCTTGCCTTTGGGGCTGGTGGTATAGACCAGGTAGCGAACTCGGGCGGTTGCATGGATAGCATTGCTTGCTTGGGTGCATCCTTGCGTCCCTTGACCTAGGAACACGCCGCCGCCCATTGGCTACTTCCGCGTGCTGCATCTCAGTTCGGATTTCAGAGTTTATCGCTTTCTTTTTTCGCGCCGGGTCCCTTGCATAACAGAATCGTATGAAGTCGCAGCCAAAGTCCAGCCCTGAACCTAAGCTCCCGACATTCGGGTACTGGTACAGGATCCTTGCAACGTACTGCTTAAGATTCATCCTGTTCACAGCTCCTGAGCCAAGCAGACGACAGATATTTTGAGTTTGGGGCTCAGAGTTTGGATTGCAAACCCTGAAACCCAGGCCCTGAACCAGATGGCATCTGCCTGGAGCCCCAAGTCCTGCAGCCGGTATGGGCCAAAAACCTCAGCGAGAATATGTCCAAGTCCCTCATGCAAGCCCCGAGGCACACAAGCTTAGCATTCCCTCCCCTCCAAGTAAAGACCCTGACCCTAAACCCCAATCTCTAAACCCTAAACCCCCTAAACCCTTAAGCCCTAACAACCCTAAGCTTCTAAACCTTTAACCCCAACACTTCAAGACAGTGCCCCTAAAGGCGCCAGGCCACGCAAGACCGGGATGTCGGAGACGGGGTTGCGAGCTTGTCAGGTGTGTAGGTACATAGGCTCTTAAGACATAAACAGGTACATACGGTGGAGGGTGCAAGGTCTTAAGATCTGAATCGGAAGTGAAGTTTTCAGGAAAAAAGGCCCGAGTATAGATGTGGAGCCCCTACATAAGGCACCGTCAGTTCTACCGCCTCCGGCAAAGGTACATGCTCCTGAATCTGTCACTTTTGATAGCTCCGTTTGGCGTCTATGCCGCGCTTGCGGCTCGGCCAAAACGCTGGGGCACCCAAGCTAATCTTCAAACCTTGCAATATAGCTTGCTGGGATATATGATGTAATTAAGTCTAGTTCGGGGTCGGCTCCAGCCTGGTGGCCGCAAAGGACAGCATGTAAAGCTGATAGCGTAATGGATTTGGGCTTCTCCGATCTCTTTGGTTTGTGCCAGCCTGCCACTCGTACGCTACGCCAACGCAGGGTGGCTTGCAATCCTGTCCGAGCTAAGGAGAGCAAAGACGTACGCCAGTGGCATAGATGGATGCTGGTCTGCACTGAGAGGCTTTTGCAGGGTTATAAGACGCCCAGTTTCTCATTCTCTGCAGAGGTGGTCTAGGTCAATTCAGAAGCGGTAGTCTCGGCTCTGTAGAGGGACACCTCGTACCCCTTGACGGTAAAACCCCTGACCCCAGTACGTAGGACCTGTAGGGTCTATTTGGGGATGGCCTTTCGGGTATCACTGTATGTACATTTTGAATTCAACAGTCAAAATTTCGAGAACTGAAGATTGTTTTCGTTGGAAACTCCAAAAAATTTCGAACTCACTAATTTGGAGTTCCAAGGTCTCAGGAAAAATTGAACTGAATTCAAGAAACCGAGTTTTTTGGAGAATTCAAGGTTTCTTCCTTTGTAAAATTACAGAAGTTCAATGAAGTTGAATGTTTGAATTCAATAACTCTGAGTTTCAAGGTCTAAGGCAATTTTAACATTATCGCAATAATTCAAGATTCTTGCCTGTTTAATCTGATAGAAGTTCAATAAGTTGAAGTATTGAATAAAAAATTCGAGAATTCAACATTTTTACAGTTTTTAGATTTATCGAAATTTTTGAATTAGTGAATTTCGGACATTGCAAATTTGGAGTTCCAAGGTTTAAGGAAATTTTAACTTTGTTGCACTTGAAAAGTTGGAATTTTTGAATTCAAGAAGTCGAAATGTCAGGAATTCAAGATTTTCCAAAATATTGAATTTGTGAAAAATTGAACTCAAAAATTTGGAGTTCCGAGGTCAAGGGAAAATTCAACAAATTTGAAATGTTGAAAATGTTGAGTTATTGAATTCTATTACAAGAATTCGAGATCTTTTTCCTTTTTAGCAGCTGGCCTTGTTCCAGCCTTCGAATGCGTTGTTGACGTGGAGAGCGCAAAGTGTGCAAACTCCAGGGGCCATGGGCAATGTGACGAGCAGCTTCAGATCCGTGGGCCCTCTCATGGGATGCGCATCCTTCCACCTTCAGCTGCCGCAGAGTGCGTCTGGGTTATACGTTGGCGTGAGGGAGTGGCGAGGTACCACACAGATCTATATCCGGATCGATTTTCTTTGTCGTCCAGGCACAATGTGGTCCTTTGGTGTTAGTCAAAGTGTGGCCATGCCGCACCCGGAAAGCGAGCGGCTTCAAGTTATGTCCGAAGCCCAGAACCGCTTCGACACCAGATGAACGAAAAAAACATTTTCAGATGAAGCTGAACGGTGCCGGTGTCTCGAGTCCGACACGTCGGTCTGAGCAGGATGATGATGACCAAGAGCCCCACGCCCAACTAATGTGTACATGGGGGGAGTACTCTAATTCCGGATCCGGGTGTTGGGTTCTTGGATAGCAAGCCGAGCCTGCACATGTGGTTTGGAAAATTGCAAGCTTGGAACATGTCCTCGTGGATTGTGGTGGCTCCAGTGCATCGCGTGCTCAAGAATCAGTCAAGAGTCCGTTGGCCTTCTTGGGGCATGGGCTGGCAGCTCATGCAGACTTCATAGATGTGCTCGTGGCTATTCTCATTTAGAGTTCATGCGGTGACGTTTAATGTAGACAACAAACCTACAGCAATACTGAAGCAGTGATGTGGGCCATCGAGCGCCGTGAAACGGGGTCGGCCACGAAGCCGCGGGTGGATTGCTACTCGCCCGACATGGTTTTGCATTTTTGGTTGATGAATTTCAATGTTGTGTAGCGAGCTCGACGACGTGCAGCATCTAAGTCTACTGGCACTGGATCGTGGAGGGCAAAACGCTGACGAAGTTCCCCAGCCACGCTCAGGCTTGGGAACGGCTTGGGATTGTGCCGATTACTGCCAACTTGTGATCTTGAATCTTATTGTTACTGGTGCAGGCTCTGCGTTGGTCATCCGAGACTCCTGATGTCCAGGCCCTTTGTCTTACTGTCAGCAGGAAATCTTACTCGGTTGCAAGCTTGCCTGGGCGATTTGCCGGGTCCCTCCGCTACGGCAGAAATATGATCCCGAGAAGGCCACTGTCTTAACTCGGGTATGTTTGTGGAACCCTGTTCTCTTGTGTTCCGGACATCCGAACATCCTCCTTGGCTAGCAGGACCCGTGCCTCAAGAAGAGAAGCATGGCGACGCCTCAGAAGGCTCGCGCTTGGTCTGCTTGGGGTCTCGGTGGGAAAGCTTGGGATGTTTTGGTGGGTCTAGTGTGGGTCTAGCTTCTTTGGGCAGTAGTCTCTGCATGCAGCTCCACTTTGACTTCGAATGCAGCTGCTGTCAGAAGTGCCCACGGGAAGGAAGGAAGCAAGTGTAGAAGTAGCCAGCTATTGGGAGGCACTTCGTAGCCACACAGCAATCGCGTAGCCGGTTGGAGGCAAGGATAGCTTCACGGCATCAGAGAGTCTTCCCTACAAGAAAACTCCGAGGGATCAGAATTATCCTGTGGCGCCATGTTACCGAGTGCAGACAGTGACTTCTTCGTTTTGGATACGGGGGAGGTGGACTGGAACTCGGAAGAGGTTTCTTGCCGGCAGTTGGCCATGTGCTCGGTGATATTCAGGTCCGCTCTCCGTGGCTGTACACGTCTTTATCGTGCAGGAAAATTACCTAGGCAGTTGCCTGCATTGGTTGTAGCTGAACGGCCCTGCAGCGATCAGCGCTGAGAGCGGCGCGGACGTCCACGGGATGCTTCATCGACTCCATCCTCATCCTCCTCATCGACCTCTGCAGTCACCTGCTGGCATGGTGTTGCTCCAATGGCGATGTCGGGCATGCAAGATCTGTGCTCGTTGGGTTGCTGAGCTGCTGCTGTGACAACTCTGATATCATCCTGAGATCTCAGGACTCATAGATGTACCTCCTGGCCTCTGAATTATGTTGCAGGTTTTGGCCTGGCGGCTGAAAGGCCTGGAATGGCGCATGGCTGTACTTTTGCGGCCACGGCGATTTATTGGTGGAACTATTCCCGTTACGTTAAGTGGCATTTGAGATGCCTGGAACGGCGTGTGGCTCAACTTTCGCGGCCACCGCGATGTTTTTCTCGAATGGTCCTATCACCTTAGTGCCGCGATGTCTTATAGGAAAGGTCCGGTCACCTGAGCTGAAGGCTCGAGAAGGGACAGACAGGGCATGGACGCACGCAGCTCGGACGCCGAAACAAAACGAGCTGTTGCTGTTGTGCGAAAGTTGCAATGCTGGGCTGATCTCCGAAAGCTCAACTTCACAACTCTAAACTCTGTACCCTGGAGCCCTGCCGGCCCTGCACCTCTAAATCATGCTTCCTGAGGATCCTTCTGCTTCGAGGACGAGGACGACGGCTCGATGCGTTCTGTGAAAACCGAGTTTGACTTTATAACTCATTATTCTGTAACGAGTTCTGACCATATGCTGATTGGCAGTAATGGAGCGACGACAACTTATCTTTGCACGGACCTGCAGGAGTCAAGCCTCAGGCAAACATGCTGAGGCAAAGAGATAGTTGTACAGCTTATTGCTTTGGGCAGGCTTGGTGAGCTGAAATCGTTCCTGTGCGCATTGTTGGCTTGGTAGAGTGATGCTGTCCGCTTGCACCTGTTAGAGTGAAGCTGTCTGGATGCAAGGTGTAGCTTTGACATACTTGTGCCGTTGCAATTTCGAGCCAGCCAAAATAACGGTTTTCCTGCCAGCCAAAATCACGGTTAAATAGCGAACACTCCCCCTCAAATTAGACCTGTTTCACACGAGTTCCTTCTCTTTTCCTATCCTTCTCTTTCTATTTCAGCACTCTGCCCTCCCTAGAAATTCCTGCGCCATGCAAGCGAGTGCGGTGGTGTACTCTTATTGAGAGCTCCCTGGTTGAGGGGTGGCATTGTTGATGCCGGTAGTATACGTTATGGGCTACCCTCGATAGTAATGGGTATAGCCTCGGTGGGATCCGCGATTAGCTGATGTCAGCTGTGATGGGGGGTAGTGACTCGGGTCC